ACGGGCGGCGGCGCGAGGCTTCCGGGCTCGGGGTTCCGGTGCGACTGGAGCTCTCCCGGGAAGTGAGCACAGACGCTGGCTTCTTGCTAAGTGAACTCCCGCCTCTCCCTGGGAGGCGCGCAAGGGGCAATTGGTGAACCCGGGCTGTTTGGCCTCGCTGGCGCCTGCCTGTAAGGAGGGTGTGGTGGCGACACAGAGAAGCTCCGCCTCGAATGCCCGTGTTCCCAGCCAGGTCACTCTAGCGGGACAGAGGCTGTCACAGCCACGTGCTAGGAGGGCCTCATCGTCCTCACCCAGGACACGTGGACTAGAGCAGGAATGCTTAGGGTCACATAATGACTGTCGAGGTAAAAGGGCGATGCAAACCTGGGCCTGGTGACACCTACCTGATCAAACAAAACCTGAGAACTAGGATTTTCTCGATTAAACAAGGACTCGACAAGAGGGTATGTTTCCTTTGGCGGGGGGTGGGAGGCGGTGAAGGGGGATCCTGGGGGTAGGTGTCGGAGCTTTGCAAACTGACATGAACCCCAGCAATGAGAAACTGACGAATGAACCAGATACCAAAATACAAATTTCACACTGCACAGTCTGAGTGTGAAAAGTGCTCCTTAAATCCCAGGACAAGCTCCTGCCTTGTGATCTGGGACACCTTTTATTGTCAAGGGCACCTGGGAACACCTTAAGCATTTTAGGTCATTTGATAATTTCCTCTTTCATGAAAAGTAAAAGTGTTAGCCACTCAGTTTCTTTGTGACCCCATTGACTATAGCCTACCAGGCTCTTCTGTCCATGGAATGTTTCAGGCAAGAATACTGGAGTAGGTTGCCATTTGCTTCTTCAGGGGATCTTCCCCACCCAGGTATCAAACCCAGGTCTCCCCCAATGCAGGCAGTTTCTTTACCACTGAGCCCCTGGGAAACAGTTTCTCCTACAATTGCTACTATAGTTGATCACACATTTGTTATGTTTTTGGATGAGTATATAGACCATGGGCTTCCCAGGTGGCACTAGTGGTAAAGAACCCGCTTGCCAGTGCAGAAGGCATAAGAGACATGGGTTTGATCCCTCATCGGAAAGATTCCCCAGAGGAGGGCATGGCAACCCACTCCAGTATTCTTGCCTGGAGAATCCCATGGACAGAGGATCCTGACAGGCTAGTCCATAGGGTTGTATAGTGTCAGACATGACAAGTGATGTAGCACAGAACACTTACAGACCATACTCACTGAGCTTCCTTTTCAAACTATCATTCTAATGTGGGATGTTTCCTGGGAGAGAATCCAGAGATGGCGCCAGCTGTATTTAGGTTGATTTTTTTGTTTACGTCATTCTCTAAAGATGCAAATACATGTATGCTGACCACATTCCAGAAACAGGACCACATGTTTAGAAAAGCAGGAGGAGAGGGCACGGGAGCACACATGTACTGGCAGATTGGGGTTTGGGGAGGTGGAGTCTGCCAGAGTTCATCCATCTCAAGTCTCTTCATAATCCACAATTGGGGACCTTTCCCTTATCTGCTTTCCCACTGCATTTGGCTGTCTGCTCTGAGACAGTCATTTCACAATCTATTATAGAAATCAGGGTGTTACCCCTGAGCCTATGTTTTTAACAATCCCCAACCATCCAGGTGATTTCAGTGCTTTGAGCCATGGGAAGCCATAAATGGTGGTGACATGATGAAGTTTGTATCTTCAGAGGTCATGCTGACAACAGCATGATGACTCAATTGGATGGGGCTGTTCTGGAACCCCATGGAATGTGCTGGGGAAGCAATACTGAGCGTCTGAACTAGGAGATTGGCTGTGAAGAGGGGGAGAGGTGGGGAGAGGGAATGATTTATTAAAGAGTATTTAGGAGGTAGAACTGTTGAATATGCAGAGCAAGGGAGAGGAAGGAATTAAAGTTTTATCTTGGGAGATTGGAAACTCAATAGCTTCAAATAGTAAGCATTTACTATCTCACAGTTCCTGTGGAGGATCAAAAGCAGCTTAGCTGGATGATTCTGTATCAGTATCTCCCATGATACTGTGGTCAGCATGTCAACCAGGATTTGATTAGGGACTGGGGGATCCATTTCTACAACGGCTCGCTCATACGACTGTTGGCTAGAGGCCTCAGTTCCTCACCACACTGGCCCCTCCACAGGGCTGCCTGGATGTCTTCAAGACTTACTTGGTAATCAATGATTCGGAAGAGAGGAGGGAAGAAGTCATGATGCCTTTCCTGACTTAGTCACAGAAGTCACACTCCACCACTTCCACAGTATCCTACTGTTACACTGGTCAGCTCTATTCCATATGGGAGGGGACCACATAAAAACACCAGGAGGTAGGGATCATTGGTGGTCATCTTGGAGGCTAGCTACAACAGTGGATAAAAAAACATCTAAGCATTAGGAGAAAAAAGGTAAATTCCTCTATAGTCTTTGACCCAAAATCTAGAAGCATAAGGGAAAAGATTGATCAATTTGACACACCATGCATATTTTATAACTTTTATTATGACAACAGATACCATAAGTAAGTCCAAGATGTAATAAACTGAGAAAATTATTGCATTTCACAAAGGATTGAGAGAAAAAATGGAGAAGAAAAAAAACCTCAAGGGACTTCCCTACTGCTCCAGTGCTTGAGACCACTGAGTGGTCCGCCTTCTAAGGCAATGGACTCATATTCAGTCCCTGGTCCAGGAAACTAACACCCTACATACCACAGAGTAACTAAGCCCTGGTGCTATACCTAGAGAGTAGCCTGGGTGCCGAAACTAAGACCCAAAGCTGCCAAATAAGTAAATATTAAGAAAGAAAAAACCTCCAATTGTGTAATGGGCAAGAGATATGGAAAGACAGTTCACTGTGATCTACATATTTAAGGTCACACATGCAGCAAGTGTTGGAATGTCTCCAGGCCTATTGGCATGTCCTCCGGGTGCCCTGCCAGGCACTGTTCTGCCAGGAGCACAGTGTTCTACCCCAGGCCTGACAGTAAGTATACACAGCCATCCCTTATTAGAGTTGGCAGTTCCCAAGTGCCACTTGATCACAAGAGATGAGTGACTTTGTTTATGACAGTGGTTGCTTACTTTAGAGAAGAACAGGACTCTCAGTTCTTATGTTTCACTTGTCTGATCCTCCCCAGCTATCTTTATGATAATAAATGTCCTCATTTGATTCATCATGACAGGCATGATCCTGAAAAAAAAAAAAAAGACTTCCCAAACATGTTTGTTTGTTACCCATAGCTATCTACTTTAGTGAGCCTAGATTCACTTCTGTTGTTTGTTATTTATCAGGTTTTTCCATGGAAAAAGAAAGGAAGAGCCTATGCGTGGCTAGCCATGGAGAGATGACTTCAGCTTGGAGAGTCAATAGTGGGCAGGAGAGTGTGTTCAGCTTGCCCGGAAATAAAGACATCATTGCAGTTAAATGAGATTCACCTGTGAGTGACTGGCAACATCCAGTGCACCAAGAATCACCACATAAAAATGATTTCTCAGAATGTTTTTTGAGAAGAGTTTTTAAAATGTTCACGTTTTCTCAAAAATGCATCGATTCTATTTAGGTGACAGTCTGGAAAAGGCAACACTGGAGGGACAGAAATCAGATCAGTGGTTGCCAGATTTGAGGGTGAGAGGAAAGGATTGCCTACAGAGGACAAGAGGGAACTTTAGGGTGGTAATGAAAACATTCCATATCTTGGTTGCAGTGGTGATTACATGGTTGTATATATTTGTCAGAACTCAAAACTGCACACCTCAGAAGGGTGAGTGTTACTCTATTAAAATTATATCTTAATAAATTTCACTTTAAAAATGTACAGATTCCAACTTCTAGATAACCTAAATTTCCTTCTATAAACGTGACGTTTTATTACATACCTTTTCTCATTTGACACGTTTATCAAGTTTTAGTTTTCAGATTGGTTTGTAGCAGATTGCACCTAAATTATAGGAAGATAGTATTTCCACATGTATTGATTCTTCTGCCCAATCATTCCATTTCAGACAGCCAATATTTATTGAGCCTTGTGCCAGAAAAAATCTTCCCTCAATATGACTAGGGGCCTTCCCTGGTGGTCTAGTGGTTAGGAATCTGCCTGCCAATGCAGGGAACACTGGTTTGATCGCTGGTCCAGGAAGACCCCACATGCCTCGGAGCAACTAAGGCCTTTTGCCACAACTACTGAGACTGAGTGCTGCAACTATTGAAGCCCATGCACCTAGAGCCTGTGATCCACAAGAGAAGTCACTGCAATGAGAAGCCCACCCCCAGAGGAGGTGCGGCCCCTGCTCGAGGACAACGAGAGAAAGCCCACGCGGCAACGAAGACCTAGCACTGTCAATACCCCATGAAGTCTTCATCATCATCATCAAACTCAGTTGCCTCCGACTCTTTTGCGACCCCGTGGACTATAGCCCACCAGGCTCTTCGGTTCATGGGATTTTTCCAGCAATAATACTGGAGTAGGTTGCCATTTCCTCCTCCAGGGGATCTTCCCTACCCAGGGACTGAGCCTGTGTCTCCTGCATTGGCAGATGGATTGACCACTGAGTCACCTGGGAATCTCACCCTATGAAGTATACCCTCTTATTACTCCCATTGTAAGGATATGGAAATTGAGGTCAGGGAGATTAATGAACATCTTCAATAAGAATGGATCAGAATTCAGGGGAACCCCAGATTCTGTAGTCAGTGTTCCTAACCTTGATGCTATTGTCTTGATAATACATTTTAAAACATGCTTCTGTGTGCACCCATGGCTAACTCATGGATAGCAAAAACCACCACAATATTGTAAAGAAATTATCCTCCAATTAAAATGAATTAATTTAAGAAAAATCATGCTTCTGATTCCCTGTGGGTAAGATTCTAAAAGTTCTGCTTTGCCTGTTTGTGGCTCCTGGTGGGGTAAGGGTGTGTGTTTTGAAATCATTTCTCATTAAAATTGAGACCCTAACTGTTAAAATTTATATTTTAATAACTAACATTTTCTAGATAAGAGCATTCAAACTTTATTGTAAAAACAATATAACAATATTAAATACAAATATATTGAAAAAATACCATTTATAATCCCACCAAACATTAACAAACATTTTCACTTATGTATATTTCTTCATAGATCTTCTCTATGTGCCTGACACATACCTACAAACAAAAGACATTCAAATTTGCTTTTTGGGGATTTGGTCCAGTCCATGCTCCCAATGCAGGGGGCCCAAGTTTCATCCCTGGTCAGGGAACTAGATCCCACATGCTGCAACTAAGAGTTTGCATGCTGCAATTAAAGATCCTGCATGTCACATCCTGAATGCCACAACTAAGACCCAGCACAACCAAATAAATAAGTATTTTAAAAATTCCTTTCCTGACAACAGCATGTGGAAAGGACTCTTAAAAATTATTTTGTCAACAGGAGTTTTCATTTGGCTTATTAACATTTGTCATATAAGCCTTAAGGTTATAACATTCTACATTCAAACACCAGAGAAGAAGGATGATGAAGATCTCAGAGTACTGCAATGAAAGCACCCAGAATCCTCTTTGGAGTGAAATGAAAATAAGCAAATAAAAGAGAGGAATGCTTTTACATAAATCTAGCCTGTGCTCATGGACGCAGGGCATGTAGTCAGTCCTTGTATCTTTGGTCAGTTCCTAAGAGCTAAAGGAACAGTATTTGAACAGGACTCTGTTCTATGTTGACCACAGCCAAATAGTGTTCTTATGGAGACCGACTGTTCTTCCTGGATTCTATCTTCCGTGAAAAGAAGAGTATGATTGTATTGTAGAAAAACACCTGGAGATTTCTAATCCTGGTGTCCTTCTGAACATCTCTTTATGTAATGAAATCTGTGAAGTATAAATATGTTGACCAGGAAATTCACTTCAATTTAAGTGTACATGAAGAAGATTAAGAATAACTTAAAATATCATAATAGTTGATAGCTGAATCATTTAAGGGTGCCTTTTCCAACAAAGTTACGAATGCTGCATGTTATCTTCCTGCATTGCAGGCAGATTCTTTACCAGCTGAGCCACAAGGGAAGCCCCTTTAAATTATTAATAACCATTTTAGTTAGAAGCATCATTCAAACAGTAGACACGAAGCCTTTTACTTCCAACTAGGGTCTGATGCCACATACAAAACAACCCATACTGTGCTAGTTCCCCAGTATCAGGTAGGCAATGCCATTACAGTTCTGAGGGTACAGGGCAGTTACAGAAAAGGATTCGCCAAGACTCCATGACAAACTATGGGATTTCACATCTGTAATTTACCAGAATCAGTTTAGGTTGCTGGTACAACCAAGTGTTTAATAAACACTAGGCCTTCTTGGATTTAGAGTCTGAATTTAAAATTCTAATCTAAATACTATAAATACGTAGCATTTTTACACTCAATGGACTAAAATCACAGTAAGCTTAGTTCATTCTGATTTTTAAAATTCATATGGAAGTTTACCACCAGACTAAGTTTAGATAAACTGTAAGATTTCATTTTAATATGCACCAAAACCAACAATAACAACCCCTCTCCACATCCCCGCCCCCTCAAAAAAGCCCCAGACAAAATAACTCTTCCCTGTCTAACTGCATTCTGTTAAATGCTTTTGAGTTCACCAGTCAGGACCCTCCGATTTCGCAGATGACGGAAGGGAGACACAGGGAAGTCAGTGATTTGTTTGAGGTACTTGGAGAGAAAGGCAGAGCCCTGCCCACTGCAGCTGGTCTGGCGTTGTAGGATAAAAAAAAAGTATGAACGTGCATGTTGAAAAAAATGCAGCATGATCAGGGTTCTCATGAAACCCAGAACTCTCTTCAACCCAAACTGCTTTTCAGTCATTGGACATCACACATCTCTTATGTAGTTTACTGTAAACCTTAGGCAAATCATGAATTTTATGCTCTGATTTGACTTCCCAAAAATATTTTCCCTTGTGGCATTTAAAAGCATACATCCTTAGAGTACATAAAAAAGAATTTGCCAGGCATTTTTTTCTTCTATAAACATTGTTCTGTTCTTTTTTCTTAATAGGAATAGTTGAAAGTTTCCGTGAGAAGTGTCTTGACATTACGAGTTCTTGTCAGATCAGTCTCAGATAAAGCTGTGCTATTTTCCCAAAGGAGAAGCCAGGTATATTTTCTCTTACAGGTATTTAACATATGATAGATTTATCAATATAACAGCACTTAATTTTTGAGGTAAAGACCCATCCTTTCACTTGTACCTTTAATTTAGGAAAGTTGACTCTTAACCACCATACCCTATATACCCTCTATTAAATATTTGTAATTTTTAAATGACTTGTATCATGGTATAAGATCATATCAAATGTTTTAAGAAATTAATGACTTTGATATCCAACCTCTAAATTGAATCAGACTTCTACCAGAAAACAACCTCTTGAATTATACAGAGAAATGAGATCAGGGAGATATTGTCATAAGACAGACTATTACTCCAGCAGAAGGTGATTTTGCTCACATCACAGAGCAAGAAGTTCTATTAGGCAATGTTACAACTCCAAATAATGCCAGATATTATGAATATTTAACAAAGAGGTATTTAGGTTAACAGAGCCACAGGATAAATACGTTCATTCTAATTCAGCTTTTTTGGTGTGTCTATAGTACTTTATCACTGATTTCAGTGAACAGTGAATTCTTAGGACCAGGTACACATCTGATTGCACGTGTAAGTAAATACTCAAGGATCTGTCAAGTGGATGGAAAGAGTGAAAATAAAGACATTTGCTTGTTCCAATTGCCCCCTATGGGTTACACAACTTCTACACTTGATTTTAGCCAAAAGGCTGAGAAGTGATGATTACACAGCTTCTAACAGGTTGTTTCTATAAGAGATTCTGATGAATCATGAACCAAAACACCTTCATAAGAACAGTCACAATTTTATAGATCAAAGAATATATTTAGGGCTTGGTTTTTAGGGATATTTTCCCACACTGGGTCACAATATGTCCCAGCCTGAGAGACATGAGGTGACAGAGTCCATGCTATGTCCCAGGTGGATGAGAAAGTGGGGAGTTAGAAAACTTCCTATGTCATTTCTGAAGGTATCCTGGGAAGGCAGGTGTAAAAAGAAATTTACACAGCCCAATTCAGATTCACCCAGACTGGATGAAGCAGAAGGAGTTCCTGTTATTAGTTATTGTTGCAGAACTCTTAATCAGCCTAAGATTTTGTGGATCTTTTAAAACCATTATCACAGAAACACACAAACAGGTCCTGTGGTTTAACTATCTGTGTGTTGAGGAGTGGGACTGGGTGAGCGAGGCTGGGAGAGTGGTCCATAGGAGTGAGCTGCTGGTACTGATATTTACTTTTGACCCTTGGCCCTTGAAACTGTCCTGTGAAACACTGCCCATTCCCTCCTCTGGGTCCTCTTTCTCCCTTCTGGGGTGAAAAAGAGAAAAAAAATTTTTTTACCACTTTTCAGCCAGTTTCTGGGCTTTATTCCAAATTATCTTTAGAGTTAAATGCATCTGTTTTCTCAGTCTTTCTTCCCCAACAACGCTCTCTCTGAACCACAGGTGGGGAGTTGGTGGCACTGCTCAGGCAAATTCCAGCCTGGGACCTAGGGTGTTTTCCACATTTCCTTATTTATTGCCACAAAGAAGCTGTGGTCACTTAACTTCTGTCATCTGCACCTGTGGTTCCAATAGTTTATGCTATGATCTCCTGCCTTAAGAAGACAGATTTTCAAAATAAATGGAGATGTTTGTTTAGCAATCTAAGTACGTAAGTAAAGATACCATGTATGACTCACTGGCAACTGTATGAACTTGTGGCCAAATGTCTTTTATAAAAAATCAGCTTTGATAGTACACAATGTGGTCATATGATTTTTTTTAAACAGAAGATCTTTTTTTTAAGCTCCTTAATTTTGAAGTTAAAATTTAGCTGTTTTACGTTCTGACCCACTCTCAGGGTTGACTGGTCTCAAAACCTCTGTTCCTTACGTTCTGACCCACTCTCAGGGTTGACTGGCTCAAAACCTCTGTGTCCAGTGATGTCACTTGACCCTCTCAGGGGGGTGTCCAGGTCAGGGAGTTGTGCAGCTCCCTCCAAGGCCAGCTCTCCTACTGGCTAGCAAGCAAATTCCAAGGGATAGATAGGATTAAGGGCTCCAAAGAGGATTCCCCAGTCCTCCCCCAAAGGAGGATCAAAAACTCTGGTCTAGTTCTGGAACAAAAATAAGCCCCAGTCAAGGAGAAAGTGCTTGTTTGGATAGACTGCGTCCCTTCCCAAAGCTTGTGTCCCACACAGGGAGTCATTTTCAGCAGGCAAGCAGGTGCAGACGTGTGTAATGCTGCCCTGTAAGAATGCTCTTTGCATGAACTGCTATTTGCACACTCTCCTAAGCTTAGGCCCCAAAGGATGAAGGTAATAAAAACTGCTCACATCTTATTACCATTTGCTTTCTTGTTCCAGGAAACAAAACCAACACACACAAACACAAAACAGCGCCCTCACCCCACTCTTCATTTCACCCCATCCTCTTTCCAAACTGCCTCTCTCCGAGAATGGGAATCACCCGCAGGGGTGGGGGCACCAGGCTCAGCCTCAGTGTAAACACGCCCCAGCAGCACAGGCGGTAAGAGGAATCTCAGGTCACTGTGAATGGTTTTCTATTAATAGGGGATAAAGCTCTTGCATATATTAGCGATAATGCCCTGGTGGCCCGCGCAAAATTAACTCCTCCCGGGCCAGCAAGAAGGAAGCCACGTTCTGCCCAGACAGTTGTGTGCTTGAAACACGCGTACAAACATACACGTTACACACACTGTGCTTTAGAACCGCTCCCCTTAAACATGCCAGATCCCATTCCCATCCCTAGTCCAGGCGGTTGCAGAGGTTCTCCAGGGGTGTCTCTGGAGAGGGGCTGGTGGAAGCGGGGGCCCGTCGGGTACCGGTCAGCTCAGCTTCGCCACGCACACCGCCAAGGCTACAGCCACTAGCAGCACGGCGCTGAAGATGGTGGCGGCCTTGGCCTTGCTCAGGTCGCAGGGACCAGTGCGCTGTTCTACCGACACGCCGCCCACCGAGGAGACGCCGGCGCTGGCGCTGGACAGGAGCTCGGCACCTGCCGCCTGCCGGGCCTGCACGGTCCAGCGGGGCACGTTGACCTTCATCTCCATATCCTGGATCATTTCGCCCACCTGAAGGATCTCCCGCTCCAGCTGGTGCAGGTCTTCCACGTCGAAGTCGCGATGCGCCTCGTGCCGCAGGCTGCGGACGCTCAGGGCGCGCGCCGCTACGCCGGTCGCTCCGCCTTCTACCCCTGTGCGCACCAGCGGCCGCCGCGGCTCCTGCAACGGAAACTCAGTGCCCAGGGCCAATGCACGCCGCATGTCGGCTTCCAACAGGTCCAGGCAGCCGGAGAAGGCCACCCAGAGGCGCTCGAATTCGGCGCGCTCCTCGGCTCCCAGGTTCCGGTCGCGCAGCGGGGCAGTCAGCCGGACGCGGATGGCCACCGCCAGCTCCTGCGCTTTCTGGCGCGTCTTCTGCAGCTCCTCTCGCAGGTTCTGCGAGTCTGCGGAGCCGCCGATGGTCAGCACCAGGTGGTGGTAGCATGCGGTCGCCTTATTAAGAGCGTCCAGTAGCGCTTTGCACTCCTCCTTCGCCATGGCGCTGCTCTCTCTCGCAGCCCGGCCGCCTGCGCCCCTCTCACCTTCACCCTCTCAGCGCAGCAGAATGCAGCCAGCCTCGACGGCGTTCCCCGGCCGGACGGCCCGAGCACTCCTCATGGCCTGAGAGGAGCTTGGCGCTGCCGCTGCTCAGGGTCCACGACATGCGCTTCCGCTGACCCGGCGCGGAGAGAGCCCTATTAGCTGTTTGCCAATCCCTCATCCATCCTCCCGAGGTGCGCTCCTACTCACACTCCGAATCTCTGCGCGGCCCTCGCCTCCACGGTAGCACCTGCGAAGCCCGTGTTGAGGTCCCCATCCTGCTCCCGTGCCGTCGCCAGGGCTAGCGGGTCGCTGAGCCACTCGCTCTGAGCGCCTTAGCCGCCGCCAAGGGCGGCCGGGTCGGGTTTCTTAGGATCCGCCCACCCCCGCCCGTCCTCGCTGGGCGCTCCCATCCCACGGACCAGGGATAGGCGGGGCCCTGCGCGGGGAAGTCACGTGCAGGTCCCCCATCTCCCCCTCCTCTGCACTCCATTACAGTCTGCAATATTAGCGCTCAGCAGATCCAACCCTCCTCTGTTTTTGAGAAGGGGAAACTGAGGCTCAGATTTAAAAGAGGGGAGGGGGATCAAGATCACGCCATGTGCATGTAAGTGATGAGGCTACAACTCGGGGGCTCTGACTCTTAGACCCAGCCAGCGACGGAAGTAGTATGCTTCGTAGGACTGGACACCCCTGTCCTCCAAACCGAGTAGTAAAGGGCAATCTGCGGGGCGGGAAGGCTGCCCTATCTCCCCATCCTAGTCCAGCCCGCTTTCCAGCAACAGAGCTTGGACCCCACCCCTTGTGTCAGATGTGTCTTTCGGCCCCGCCCCCTCCCTTTCCAGGCAGGCGCAGTCGATGGCTCTGGGCTGGTCCAGCCAGAGTAGGAAGTGTTGCACGCCTCCTGAGCCCCACCCCCGGCTGGGCGGGCTCAATGATTGCTCTGAGCACGCGTCACTCTGAATAAAGACAGCTTCTCATTGGTCTGACCAGAGTCCTAGGGTGCGACTCCGCCCAACGGGGGGTGGGCGGTGCAGCAGTTCTGCCGCGTTGGGGTGGTGGGCCCTGAGGTCTCTACCGAGGGGCCAGGAGGTATCGGTGCCACTCCTGGAAGGGCGGGGAGTGAAACTATGTAGCCTTTTAAGTAAGTGTCCTCCCTCCTGTCTCCTCCCGCGCCTCCCTTCCCTCGGGACGGCTGCGCCTCTGGGCCCAGAGGCCGGGCGGGGCCTCGGAGCGGAGAAGGGGGAGGGGCTCTTTCCTCCGCCGGCGCCCCAAGCTGGGCTGGCTGTCCCCGGGAGGCCCCCGAGGCCTGGGCCCATCGCGGAGTGGACTGCCGCGCCCGCACTCTCCAGCTCCCGTCCGCATCCTGGCTCGCTCTGCCCCTCGTGTGTGTTTGCGGGTCGAGGGGTGGGGTTGGCGAAGAGTGCGCCCTCTGACTCCCGCGGCATCAGGACAGGTTAGCAGGGATCCCGGGAGCTCTGGGATCCTGGGAGCTCGGACTTGGGGGCAGCAATAGGCAGGGCCGTCGCTCACGGGCTGGGTGGCTTCTGGGGTTTAAGGGAGGCCTGGCGGGGCGGGTGGAGGGGAGGCTGTGGATGGGAGGCTGTGGATGGGGGTGAAGATCCTCGAGTCGGGCTGTCGTGGTCCCCGTGGTGATGGAGGCGCTGGGGGGAGAGGAGGGAATCCCTGCCAGCCTGCCTCTCATGGGGCGGGGGTCTCCTCTTCCTGCTGGGTTAAGATTACCCCGGGAAAACTATGAAGCACCAAGCGGTGTTCTGGATTCTGGGTCTGTTCAGTTCTTTTCGTTGAAAATGGACTGCCCATTGGAGCGTGAGCAAGGCCTTGCAGCTCTGGCCGCCCCTGGAGGTGCTGGGGACGTAGTCGCCTGCGGTCGTGCAGGGCCACAGGGAGCAAGTGGCGCGTCTTCCTTGAGGATTTAGGACATTCGGGGAATGAGGAAACTGTAGGGGACTCCTAGTTTGCCTTGGGAGCTGGAATTTTCAAAGTTTTGTGGGTGTCCGGAAGAGAGACCCCTATTTAGATTAAGTAATGCACCCTTCCACCAGCCCTAGAGAGGAGCAGCAGATGTTAGCAGGATATTTACATTTCCAGGCACCTTGCCAGGTTTGGCATTGAGGCAGCCGCCCCTGCCTCCAACCCCATCCAGAGGGCTGGGTCCGGGGATCTCTCACGCAGCAGTCTGTCCTTTAATTGGATGTTTCAGTGGTGATACTGTGGCCCTTGGCCATCTCAGCCACCTATGAGCCAAATGGGGCCTTGACCGAGAGCAAGAGTAGTTTTTAGGATGAAATGGGTAGAAGGGAGGAGAGCCCATCTCTTCTGGGAGCTCTGTGGACAGCAGAAGGAGATGAAGCTGCAGAGGTGGGCAGGAGGCCAGGAATAAGAGGGCCTCCATGCCAAGCGGAGAAGTTGAGAGTGCATCTGATAGGGAGTGCACAGGTCTCAGTGTTGGAAAAATCCTGTCTTTCAGGTGGACAGGTTTGCAGTGGATCAAAGGTCAGGGCCTGAAGGCCTGGGGCAGGGAAGGGGGGGGAATGCCAGATGGAAGCAGAAACAGGTAGGTCTCACACGTCCTAGTGGCAGAAAAGCAGATGGGGCCCTGAAGCTGGGTGGCCATCTGCGGTGAGTTCTCCTCACCTGGCCTTGTCACCTGTGATAATCCCACTTGGCAGCACTGCTGGGAGGGGGGCAGTAGTGTTTGCCCAGGGTCTGGGCTCCAGGTCCTCATCCTGCCTCCTTGTGGCTCGTGGACTGTGTTGCTCTCATGAAGGCAGGTGCTGGGATTTGGTTCTACACATGTCTGCCTCTGTTAGTGTCTTTTTTTTTTTCTTTCAATGTGGACCTGATCTTGGCCAGGCAGCAGTAAGCAGTGGCATGAAGTGAGATCTTGATTTCCTAGCCAGGAATCGAACCTGGGTAGCCTGGATGAAAACCAGGAATCCTAGCCACCGGAACAGCAAGCACTAGAGGCTAGAAGCTATTTTTCCCTGACCTCTGCCACCAGTGCAAAATGCATTTCTCACGGAGCCAAAAATGTAAATGCAGGTACAAAGTTTACTAGAGACAAAGCGTAACAACAAGTGTGAGAAAGCACAGAAAAATTGTTTCGTTAAGACAGAAGCGAGACAGAGATGCACACCCGGAGAGGAAGGGTATGGACGTCCCCCCTCGTGAGGAGGGGCACAGAACAGAGGCAATTGTCATTTATATAGGACGGTTCTTCCGATTTTAGTATCTGTAATATCTGTGTTGCTGAAGCGAGCACAGGACAGTTCTTCAGGGTCTTTGTTTACCTTTAGCCGATTATCTGGTTTCTTTTTCCACACCTGAACTGCTCTAGGACCCTCCCCAATATGTGTGCAGAACTTTTTTCCAGGATGGATTCTGGCCCAGAGGTCTGTGGGATGCCCTTAACATCACATGTTATGGGGTGGTGCCCCCGCCTTTTTGACCTTCAAGGAGCCTTTCTGCACATGTGAAATGTCTCCCTTGGCCCAAGGCCAGGACATACTTGATCTTTTAACAGGATTTAGTCTCACTCTGCCCCTGCCATAAAAATGCCCAGTGTCTGGTTATTTACCCAATTCCTGTTGCTGGTTTTTATATCAAGGTGTAGATCTCGAAATATAGACAGGAGTCTAGTCATAAATATGTCATCCTGGAGCCCGTTTGTCTCTTGCTTCAGGAAATATAAACAGGGGGCTGGTGATGAATGTCAGGCCTGGAGCTCATCTTCTTCCCACCCCAGGAGGTGTGAATAGGCCAGTCGTAAATGCCTAGCCTGGAGCCCATCTGTCTCCTCCTCAGACAGTTTTTAAAGTCTTTGTTGAATTTGTTACAATATTGCTTCTGTTCTGTGTTTTTGATTTTTTTTTTTTTTTGGCCCTGAAGCATGTGGTATCTTAGCTCCCCAGCCAGGGATCGAACCTGCACCCCCTGCATTGGAAGGCAGCGTCTTAACCACTGGATCACCAGGGACACCACTGTTAGTGTTTGAGTCAGGGCTCTCTGTTTATGAAGTGCCAGGGTTAGGTTGGTGTCCAGTAACTTCCTCCTTCCCTAGAGGAGCAGGGGAATGTGACCACGTGATGCTAGATACCAGATCTGGAAAGGGTTCAGACACGGAGAGTCAGACACGATTTGTCCCGAGGTTGCTTCCACATCCGAGAGAGCACTGAGAAGTGGTCCTTGGTGCTCCTGCCCAAGGGAGTTTGGTCCAGTGACTCCCCTGCATTGCCAGGAACAGGGTGTGGAGTGGCTTTCTGAGGGGTAGCTGTGTCCCTCCAAACTTCCCTGCTTCCAGCCCTCTTCCAGCCCTGAGGCCTTCTCTCCCACTGTGAGGCTCCACATTCCAGCCAGCTCTGTGCTTGGCCTGCTCTGAGCACGTTTGGTTTTGGCTTTTTGCCAGCGCTTGCAGGCCCAGCCCCTCATCCTCCCCTGCATGTGGGCGGTGGATTTCCAGCTCCTGGGAGAAATATAATCCCTCCCTGGGAGCTCGATCTTCCTCTAACACCTCACTGTCATTTTGTTCAAGTGGACCAGCAGTTGTTGCACATCTGCAGGGAGTCAGGCAGCCAGGCTTCAAAGTGCTTTGAAGAAGAGCTTTGAGAAGCATATGGACAGGAGCCATAGACGTTAACAGAAGGACACAAGTGACTGTAATACCACACGTTACATCATCAAATTGCTTCCATTTGGTATTAGGAAGAGATGCATACCAAGTTTTCCCTTTCTGCCTTTTCCTTCTCAGTCACACATTAAGCCCGCTGGAGAGTATTGCTCATCAACTGGAGAATACGCCTGGTGAGGGTCTATGGTCAGGGCCCTGGGGGGGCGGGGGGGCAGGAGCAGCCACAGCAGTGAGATTTCGGCAGGGGGTGCATCTCTGGGAGGTGCAGGCTTTCCTGGGCTAGCTTCTGCTGAGCTAGGCTGCACCC